AAAAACAAAAAAACCTTCCTCGCTTCCTCTGCACAAAGCTCTGCACATGCAATTCCACAGTAAATGACACACACCCCCAAGGTTATGTACTCAGTAACCTTTGTGAAGGCACCCTGGGATCCATCTCAAACACTACAGGAATCCACTGGGATTCAAAGCCCTTTCCAAATCTAAGATCCTCGTCATTCAGTCAGCGCAATGGATATTGGCAAAATTCGTTTAACTTTAAAATAACATTTGTTTAGCAATGATACAATAAGGGTCTGCCTAAATTACAGAACTCTATTCTATAATCCATAGGTATTAAATCTTTCATTTCTCAGAACTCACGTGAAACTCTGTAAATCTTGGAAGTATTTTTCATCTGCAAGTGTCTTCAGTTCTCCTCTCGGACACTCTGCATGTAGGAGTGTGATAAATTGATAACCCCTCCAAGAATTAATGAAAAAGCAAGCAAAGTCTGAATAAAATCATGCTTTGAATTCCTTGTTCATGGAGAACAGCACACAAACTCTCTTGGACACCAAGGAATGCCTGGATTTCACACAATATCCCTTATACAAATGCCCATGAGTTTCAGACCTTGCTCAAAAACAAGCTGTCCACATGTCAAACCAATTTATGCAAAAAGGAATGCCTTGAAGCTATAAATGGGAACTCCTCCACTGCACAACTCCATCTCACCAGGAAACAGCATATGGAATATTTAGCACAAACCACCTTTGCAGATTTACAGACCAATGAGACTAAAAAGCCAGGTGTCAAACACTGAGCAGGAAAGCTAAGACAGCTTCACTATCTAACATTTAATTAGAGTGAGACCCCAAACCATAAAGAGAAGGGTTAGCAACAGAGCAGCAAGCTGAAATGCAGTGTTACAAAATTTGCTTAAAAACTATCAAAGCCAGCCAGCAGAAAACAGGAGTGTAATGGATTTGAGGTGAACATTACTGATTTCCTTTCTAGAGGCTTTGAAGAACGCAGCATGTACATCACAAGGCTTTTAGGAAGGGCCTGGCTAATATGAATGCCCATTATAGCTGCTGTACTGCACTATCTGGAAGGCCACAGGAACAAACAAGCTCTGCCAGGTGAGCAAAGAAGAAAAGCTTTCAGCAGCAAAAACTCTTAGGCACTTCCCCAAGCCTCCTCTCTCAACACCATTCCTCTGTATTTAGACAAAAGTTCAAAATGCAGAGCAATGCCTGCAGTCATTTTTCATTCAATTATATTTCACGGTAAGATGTTCAAAAGTGACCTCTAATTTCAGAAAATGAAATCCCTGAGAACATGCTCAGATATCCAGGGACTCACTTCAGAACTGCCAGGCAAAACTGGCACTGACACCTCCTGCCCAGTGCTTCAAATATGCTATTTTGGCTTTGAGTTGAAATGAGGATTTAGAATTTTGATTCTAAGGGGACACAGCTTAACAAGTTCTAGTAGTTAGGTTGAAGTACATGAAATAAATACTTTTGGGAGCTTAGCTTTAGGAAAAGAATCAAGTCTGAGGGCAAAGAAGTGATGAGGAAAGCAAGGGTGCTGACTTTAAGCTGCAAGTCTTTCAAATTCTGCAAAAAACACATAAACACCCACTCTAAAATATCTTACATGAGTCAGTAAATACATGTACATACTCCAGGACTGCAGCCATGCTGTTAAGCTTTCTTCTCTGCTCTATTTTGCCCCTAAATGAAAGCCATTCTCCCTTCTTTCATCTCACAAGATGAGAGCACCTTTTTCTCCCTCTGAAGAACTACTGTATCTCCAGAATAATGTATTTTTAGCACTTGGGTATGAGCTTTGTTTCCTTGAGACTACCAAGGAAACTGATTCAGTTCAGTGATCCAATGAAAAACAACTTTTTTTTTTTAATAAATTCCATTATTAGTGGCATCATTACTATTACATTCCAAATATTCAGGATCCTGAGCTCAAGAGAATGAAATGTAGATTTCAAAATATTTTCCAAGTTGCACAAGCCTAGTCCAAAAAATCACCATCATTCAGGTTAGCCCAACCACATTTCCTCAGTGACCCTCATGATGAATTTGAGAGGCCTGATCCCAGCCTAGTAAAGCATGGTATGCAAAAATCAGCTGCAGAACTGCAGCAGCTGGAGGCACAACCCTCATTTAGGATGAGGGACAGCAAGGCTGAGCCCTAAGCTCAAAAACCATGAAGCAACAAGTCCACTGGAGGGTCAAGAAACACCACTGACTGAAAGGGAAGCAGGTGTTTGCCAACAGGATTCCAAGCAGGAATTGATTCAAATTGCAGCTTTTCAATTAGATGATGTCTGTTTGAAACACCCAGAATAGTCAAATGTAATTGTTGTCCCAGAATAGTCAAATTTAATTGTTGCCAGGCTCTGGAAACTGTGAGAAGGAAAAACAGCTAGTGAAAAACTTGAAGCCTTCAATACAAACCCTAAAAAATCAGTAGAAATTTTTATATTTTTTGGGGGGAAAAACTTGAAGCCTTTGATACATACCACAAAAAATGAAGAGAAATGTTCCTATTTTTGGGGGGGCAAACTTGCTTCCCCTTCTAAGACTACTGTAAGTACAGTGGATCAGAGATACTACTGGCAAAGTAAGAATACAGAAACAAACATAGTGAAGAGTAATCAGTAATTCTACCAAAGGCAAGAGAGATCCTGTGAAGGTGAAACCTGTAAGGGGACACCCTTGACATTCAAAGATAGTTGCAAGGAACCATTGGTATCTCCTGTAACAGGAAAAGAGGAAAGGACCTAAGCTAAGTCAGTCATTCTTTTCAGGGAATTCTGAATGACAAAAAGCCTTGGAAGTGCTGACCCCACATTAAACATTCCTTCTGAACATGTATATAGAAATAGAATGAGTATGCAGGAACCTGTATCTTAATTCACCCAGTAACAAGAGGAAAAAAAAAAAAAAAAAAAAAGAAAAAAACCATAATCAACATAATCAAGGAAAGAACAAGTGTAATGCAAAGGAAATGGTATATGTTTCAAATAATATTTGAAAACACTGTTAAAATCTCACTACCTTTGCCATGCAATTCATTCAGTGAAGTCATTTGCAATAACCAGGCTTTAAAATAGATATATCATAAAAGGGCAAGAGGTTTCCTTTTCTTTTCCAAACTCATTTTCTTATATCATGATCTATGGAACAGATATTGTGGAAAATATAATTCACTAAGTTGATAGCTCTATTCCAAATAGTCATACATCAAGTGACATTACAAACAAGCACTGTAATCAGCAACAGGTCAGTCAATTGTATCTATTTCAGAACTTCAATTCCAAGATTAACTGCTTCATATTTCATTTGGTAAAAGCTGTTACACAAGGCACATGAAGAGATCAAAGGCTTAAAAAAAACAGCTAAGAGAGTGAAAATAAAGACTATTATTAATATGAAACACTATTTTATAAAGCTGCTAGGGAATGAAAAAAGGGTGAGACTAAATTTTAATGGAAGATATCATGTTTGTTGCTACTTGTTTATCTTACAATAAAAACACAGCTTTGATTCTGGGAAGTATACATCACCTTTAAGGAAGTACACAGATTTCAATTTTCATAACCTCAACTAAACTTCTAACCAATAAAAACATGTCTGGTTTGTTTGGGGTTTCTTCCTCCAAAATCTGCAGGTAGCTCTCCAAAACCAAGCCAAATTCCTCACCTCTAACAGATTTTGCCCAATCCTTATTTGGATTAATTCCTAATCAGCCTGCTAGTTCTTACCTTCTCTAATCCCTTCACCTTTACTACTTGATTTCAGCACCAGTTTGCCCAGGGTTGTTTAGAGAGGCAGCTTTGGCCATACCTGAGCAGATCCCAGGCAGCACAGACACACCTATGAAATGCATGCAGGTGAAGCAGTCACCTGCTCACATGGAGCCACAGCGTACCACAGGGGTAAATTCTCAGAGTGAAGCTTTTCAAAAGCACCTAGGAAACCACCCCAGTCATTTTCAGACTGAAATTTTAGAAAAAAACCCCAGGCTTGAAGATGTGCACCCAGATAGGTCAAATTAAAACCACAAAAACCTCTCTGACAACTGGCTAAGCTGCAGTATTGCCAAGTGCAATCTACTTGCTCATTTGGGCAAATAAGACACCTTGGCACATTCCCTAAACTGGAATGTCCCTCCCCCCCCCACCCCTTATTTTTTCTGCTTAAATGAAAGATTATCAGTGCCTGGAATCCACACACAAGACAGAGAGAGATACCACAGTGTGTGCTAGTTACAGCAGTACAAGAACAGTTAAAAACCATAAATATCCTCTGTATCCAAATCAGTGATTTGCTGAATTCAAATTCTTGTAAGCAATTCCTCAAAGAAAATCTTCAAATGCAGTGAGGAAAAACTTTTATGGCCTGTAATTCTTTTTTGCTTAAGCACTATACTTTCCCACTGTGTAAGAGGGTGTGAGAAGACCGAAGCAAATTTCAAATCCTTATGCAAACTTCTATGGGCAATGTCAGCAGATGTCTCCATGCTCACTCTGTCCTTATAATGATTAAATTATGCTGTTTGCCAAGATTTCCAAGATGACCACTGACTTTTTGTGGGACATGAATTTGTAGAGAATTTTTCAAGTTTGATAGAAGGTTTATATTGTATAACAAATGACATTATAAACAAGCGCTGTAAGAAGTAACAGGTCAGTCAATTGTATCTATTTCAGAACTTCAATTCCAAGATTAACTGCTTCATATTTTAATTGGTAAAAGCTCTTCTTTTATTTTATTCTCTAAAAGTACATGTTTTAGTTTAGCTCTTGTTTTATCTTATTCACTAAAATGTCAGTTCAATGGGGGGATCCTGGATCTCCTGTCCAGCCGTGCTCAGAATGACTGGGCTCAAAACCTCAGATCCTTACAACGCACATTGCTCCCAGCTCAACCAATATGCAGAATGCCTCTGGCACATGGAGCACTGCGTTAGGACACGTTTTCCAGCTCGTAACCTCCTGCACTCTACACCAAAGGAGCACTTACTGCCATTGTCGTCAGAGTCCTCACTGCTGCTAGGAAGCCGATGTCGTTTCATGATCTCCCCGGGAAACAGCAGGCAGCCTGGGAAGCAATGAGACAGCACTTAACCCCAGGTAATGACACACACTCAGCAGCTTGTGCTTCTGATGGCATGCGAGCATTTACAGCACACAAAGGAAAACAAACAACTCCAACAGCAGCTGAAAGATGAACAGGGAACCTCTCAAGGGTGCTTAATTAGGCTGTTATCCTATGAGCAGGTGAACAGCGCTGGAGACTGGAAAGGACAGTCCCACCGATGCTTTCCCCCCACCAAAAAGCTGAGTTTTTGTCCTGAGAGGCGTTAAAATCACTCAATATCCCCAGCCAATGTGCTTAACTTCTCCTGCCTATTCTGCCACTAGATTTGCAATACAATAACGTTTTTACTGCTTGTGTCAATATTTACTTTGGCTAATATATTTTTGGAGCAATTTTGTTCCTGTTTAAAGCACCAGATTTACGAAATCGGAGATTAAAGTCATCCACTTACACATAAAAGACAAAACATCAGCAGTAGCAAGCCCAGTTTTCCCAGATTAACTAAACGTGCATCATCTATGCCCTGGAAAGCACCACCCTCTAAGATGAGAGTTAGTTCCTCCTGCAGGGACATTTCTAGAGCCATGCCTAACACTAACTGTTCTTTGGGAGTAAGATTATTCAGATCATTATTCAGAGGTTCCTCCGAAATGCCAGATTTCTACCAAAATACCAAATTCATGGGCACGTGGGGCTGTGATAAAAAGGCCAAAAGTTCCAAATCTTTTTAAGTGGTGTTCTCATGGCGCTGACATTTTCACGTGTATTCACTGTGGAACGAAGCCAAATTCAGTAAAAACAAGGAAGCTGTAAATAGCTAGTCAGTGTTTACATGTAAAAAGCTATTAAAAAGTGCAAGTTGAAGAGCAGATCAAGACATGACAAGTCCAAAAAGGCATATCCACCATAAGTTAAACTGACAAGGACTCTAGATGCACATCAAAACCCCCGAGTCTTTGCTTACCATGTATCAATCCTGGTATCAGCAAGGTCCAGGCACTCTGCTAACAGCAAATCCCTCATACCCACCTCTGCACACAGATTTGGAGATCAGATGCCAAAATATTCCTTTGCTTCTACCTAAGTGCAGAAAATCTAACCTTATTTCCATGTGAGCTCAGACTTCATCAAACCCTCTCAACAAAACTCCTTGCACTGGTCCTTCAATGTAAGAATTAACTGCTCCGACTTTGTTCACTGAGAGCACAGCTCATTGTAAGAAATTCAGTAATGCCTTCAGTTTTTATAAGGCTGATTCCCAAAATAAGAAAACCCAAAAAACCTAACAAAGCCTGACACTATTTACAATAAAGCACCAAAATATCTGCTTCCAGAGAAGTTAATACAGTTCTAAGAGCATGAGCATTGCAGGATTGCCTCCTTTTTCATATTATACCTGCAAACAGAGTTGGGGGGAAGCCTCCCTTCCACAGACTGACTTTTCAGAGTGGGTTTTAATACACCTGTCATTGAAACATGTAACAGTTTTGAACTGCAAACTTTGCTCACTAAAGAGAAGCTGAATGGTTCACATCACCAAGACCTTTTGTCACCCCTTCATAAAGTAAAAGTTCACATACAGTGTCTGATGCCAGAGAATAAAGAATCATCAGTGGCAGCCTCTTACAGGGTTAGAAGAATTCTCTCCAAAAATTGCTTTGAAGCAGGCCAGAACTTTGTGTGTATGGGAGATGGAAATGCTGCCAGTGGATAAATACCCACACCAGCCAGGACCATCAAAACCCAGTGAATACAGATCTGGTATAAATTTAAGAGATCCTGAGCCAAGTTCCTATACAGTCACTTAGAAAGACAGAAAGCCAATATTCAGATTCAAAACAGGCTAAGACAGAGCTGAAAAATCAATTAGTTCTTACAAGGCCAAAACTAGAGGGATGAATATCTATCTGTAAGGTACTTTTTCTATTAATTCACATATTAATAACAGCAACGTAAAAGAAGATATTCACTTATCAAAAATCTCCCATAAACTAAGTAAAGAAAACTTGGAAGAAAATTCAGGAAATTTGTTCTGTCTCAAAAGTGTAATTTGTATATTTTTGGTCCACTTCTTGGTTTATTTCCCACATGGACTGAAAAGCACAATACACTGTTAAGCAAAACAACAGAGTTTATGTACGCTAAGACACACCTGTGAACTTGCAACAAACAAGAAAATTTGGAGTTCTGCTCCTTTACATCTTTCTGGACAAGCGTATTTTGAGTTGATCTTCTCCTAACATACTTTCTGCAAATTCAAAAAAAAATAAGGAAAGAGACAGAACCTTCTTCTTCCTACCACGTGTCTTTAAAAAACAAACCCAACATCTCCTTTTTGGTTGCTGTTTAAAGGAAAGACTGGTAATCACACCTCCCACAGTTTAAGCACTCTCCAGAGCTTTTCAGGAAATAATCCAGAGCAGAAGCCACTTTCCTGAGCACAGAGTATTGGATAAGGCAGCTAATTTCCTTGTCCACTCTAGTCAGGCATCTCAAGTTGGCCACACTGAAAAGCCTGTGTTCTCAATAGTATCATTAAAAGAAATATCCCATTTGATGAAGCTCCTGGGAGATTGTTTTATAGATCTTTGTGGGGAAAAAAAAATTAAACTTAGAGATCTCATTTTCCCATCTTTGAGCCTAACCTCAGTTTACAGGGAGCTAAATCACAGATGAAAAAACAGCATTTGACTTCTTAGAGCAAGACTCAAACCTCGTAAGATTAACCCCCTGGAACTTCAGTCATTAGAAGAACAGCTTTTTTTCCATCTCTAAAATAATTTTAAACTGCTACCAGCAGATGTTCATATCTAACACATGTTCTAGAGGTAACACTGGAACAGCTAGCAAGATTTACAGCCATGCAGATTGAAATGCTACTGGTTTCTGTCAGGGGGTGGTGACTCAAAGTCACACAAGAAACATGTTAAAAAGTGCACATTAAAAACAAACATGGGTTATGGATAGTGAGTTAGATGCAGACTGATGCTGCAAGTTTTTGCCCTGTTCCAGCAGGCAGAGACCAGGATCACTATGCCTGTAAGCAAAGAGAATTCCCATGTAAGCATAAAACCAGCAAAACATTTGAGGCCAGCTTTAATACCAGGAGCCAAAGCTATGCACCCCAGCCTGCAACACTTGCAGGGCAGGAAGAGACACCCAGATGACTGAGCTCAATTCCTAAGTGCCTGCAATCACATAATTGCTGTCCGGCCCTGAAGTTCCCACAAAAATCCACTGCAGCCACCCAGGCCACAGAACGAGCTCCCAAACCCCTTCTGAGAATGAACAAAAGGATGAATGTGTCTTTCTCTGAAGAGAGGACACAGTCAGCCAAGCAGTGTTTGTGGGTGAACCCTGGATCTTCCATCAAACATTTCTGTTTTTCCCAAATTCTTACACCAGCCCACAAGGGTGTTTGCCTAACACACTGTTCACCTAAAGGGAAAGCCCAGCACTCCAAAAGCTGCTGCAGCCAACAACCCTAAGCTGACAAAGGCTGCCTCACCAAGCCACACCCTGTATCAGTTTCCAGTGACTCCTGTGAATTCCTAATAATTCAACAACTCTTATATATAAACTTTCAGTTTCATTTCCTCGAAAGAGGATTGTTCCTTTTTGTTAAAAGCATCCTTTCAGAAATCAGTCAGACCAAAACACAGCATGCTGATCATGTTTTCTCCTGACACTCCAGTGTAACATCCACCAATTTATTGGGGAGGAACCAAACTGGGCTCAGGCTAATGCCAGCTTTCAGCCAAACACAGCTTTTGAGAAACAGCCACGATTCTGCTGGCAACGTTACTCCAATTCCACAGGCAGCAAAGCATCCAAGAGCACTTCATGCAGTCACACCACCATGATAAATGCACCAAGGGGACACAGACCATGCCTTTTTTAGTCCCCAGCCACCCTCAGATGAGCTGGCCACACCAGGGCAGCACTGGTGAGGCCAAGCATAGCTTACAGCATGCCCTACTCTGCTGCTCCAGAGGCTGAAGGTGCTGCTCTGCTTTACAGAAACACATCACCAGTTGCTTTTCCATCCTTTTTAATCGTGCTTGCTCCGCAAGTTAAGCTCTAAGTTTTGCTCAATGATTAGATACAAACTTTAAACCTAAGAATGTAACTCTGGATTTCCATGGTGCCTTTGCTCAAATTGTTTTTGAAGGCAAAATTACACCACCTGAAACCGACTTCTGTATTTTGGAGAGTGTGGGAGGCCTTTTTCAAAACACTTGTAAATGCTGCTCAAATGAAATGACTGGCCAATAATCCAATATAATCAATGTCAGGCCACACAACAGCATTTGAATTTACATATCCTTGTGGAGCTGGGCAACAAACACCTCAATCTATACAAATAACCAGATGCAGGTAGGCATAGAGACTTGGCTGTCCACTTCCCAGTATTTGATGCCAGATGCAGTGCAATGGGTTAGACTCAGCACCCTGACACAGCACAGCAAATTCACTATTTTTAGCAGTGTCATTACCATGCTACTCCATCCTTACCTCTCCAAGAGATAAATTATCAACAAAACTCTAAGACCCCACTGGACATTGATGTCCAGTGACCTTTCCTTTTTTCTCCCACACCGGAGTCCCAGGAGTTGCACTGATAAGAGTGTAAAAAATGCAAAGAGCAGAAATCCAGACACTACCCCATGAAACTGGAACAACAGCATGCACACACACACCTCCATGTGCCAGATACCATGTGCACAGTTAAGAGCCCCACATAGATCTTCACTCAGTTTGACCTCAAGTAGAGAGGCAATCAAAGAGAAAGATGTAAAGTGTGTCAGTCCTTGTTATGCAAATAGCTAAGCAGAACCAGATTGTAAAAAAAAAATTATACGTGGGAAAATCTACATCCTCAGGTCAAAGGTTTTCCACAGCACAATTCTTAGTGAAGTATTTTCAAGGGCTGCATAAACCCCTGGGTAAAAGAGTGTATAATTCAAACTCTGACAGACAATTAACTGTAACCATGTTAACGGGTGTCACTGTAACAAACTGCACTGAACAGCTGCAGAGACAGAATGGGAAGAAAGCAGAGTTATGACAGATGTACACCCTGAAGACAAACTGAAAAACTGCCTTTTCCTGAAAGTAACCCACTAACTGCAATGAAACGAAGACCCAATTATCTCTAGTACACAAGAAATTGCTTCAGAACACCTATTGTACAAATGGAAGTGAAGTGTGACACAGCTTAATAAAATGGGTAGAAGATGCAGCCATTTGGCTTCTGTTATTGGGCTCTTTTTAAATAGCTTATTTATAACACCACCCCTTGTTCACTGACACCTGACATCACAAGAAGCTTTTTGGCTTCTACCCTAGACCTAAAACAAAAAAACAACAAAAAAAAAAGGAAGCACATCAGAAATAAGCTGTATTACTCAAATCCAGCTAAAACTTTTAAATTCCATTATGGAGCACCATCCACAGTGCAAAGAGTCACAGACCTTAAATCTGGAGGATAAAAATCTTCCAAGTCTCACGAAACAAAGAAGTACTTGGCAAACAAGGCCAACAGTTGTTCTCCACAGGGGATATTTCTACCAAATTCAGCACACCTATTCAAAATTTATCAATACATGAAAAAAGCACAATTTGGCCATATCAACCCAACACTTCTGAGGAATCCATGTGCTCATTTATGCACCTGTGCAAGCCAGCTCATAATGTCAACTTCCTACCTGAGCAGTAACAGCAAATTATTCCCAAAGTGTGGGGGAGTGAGTGAAACTGACCATCCAAAATCTTGAGCAATGCATAAACTGGGTTCCAAGAATTAATGCAACCCAACCTGCACCCACTGCAGTTCATCTCTTCCACTTTGGTCATCTCCAGCTGAAAACAGGAGCATGAAGCAGCAGTACTAAACACATGGAGAAATCATTTGAGGAAACACTGGAAGTTTGGGTTTTTTTACTAGTTCTGTGAATTGGGAATGAAACCAGAGAAGCTGGAAGGGAAATCTGCAGCTGTGAGAGGAAAGGGGAGTTTATTATTATTATTTTATTTTAAACATATGTATTAAACATAGCTCAAAAGCAGGGAGCAAGTGGTATCTGAAGCCAGAGGGAAAATCCTGCCACTAAAACATACAATCCTTGCTGTTTCAACAATATCCCACTGAGTGTGAGAAACCTCTAGAAATAGAATCATAACAAGCATATTTTGGCATAACTTTAATGAAGGTTTTAGGTTTCCAAGTGTGGGCAGCTTCTGACTTAGTCAAAAGACAGCACCTGCTTCAAAAGGAAATTATTCCAAATAACAGCTAAATGTTTCTCAGAAAAATGGGGCTGGCATAAAAGCATCTTCAGCCTTTGACATTAAAACGTCAACTAAGACGTGTTGCTAAATCCTGCTGGAATTTCTGATACTTCCACGGCCTGTTTCACTGGGAAGGGGTGGGGGGCTGACAGATCTCAGGATGCCCTGGCTCTCACCTGCCGGTGAACCTAATAAACTTTCTCAGAATGAGCCGATCAGCCGGAGAGGGCCGGCAGGAGAAGTTGGCCGGGGGCAGGCGCTGCTCGCAGGTGCGCTGAGCCCCGGCCGCCGCGGGCTCGGAGCCGCTTCCCGCAGGCTGAGAGCAGCCGAGCCTTCGGGAGACACTTCCAAAGCCGCGCTCACGCCGACCGCCGGCTGCAGCCCGGCTGGCTGCTGCTCAGGGCGGCTCTCCTCATCCTCCTCCTCCTCCTCCGGCAGCGATCCCATCTCGGCTCCGGCCCCGCGCCCGCCCAGGGCTGGCGGCAGCGACCCCGGAGGCACCGGGGCACGGCCGGCTGAGGTCACGGATCAGCCTCCCGGCCGGGCTACACCTCCCCCGCGGGGGTGGCACCTTCCCGGCCAGCTGCACGGCCGCCGGCTTCCAGGGGAAGCAGCCCGGCTCGCCCCCTCCTTCTCCTCCCTCCCGGCTGCCGCTCCTCCCCGCCGCCGGCCGCACCAATCCGCTCGGCCACGGCTGCAAATCAAACTTGGTGCCCCCGGCTCCGCCGCCTGTGGCTCAAAGCGCTGTCACTGCCCAAAACGGCCGCGGCACCTTCCCCGCCCGCCCCCGCGGCCACGCTGCCACGGAGGGGGTGGACGGGACGGCGGATGGAGCGGCAGCTCGGAGACGAGCTCATTTTCTCTGTCCGTCTCTCCTCCCACTCCCAGACAGTTCTGGAAACTGTGTTATCACCTCTTGTCACAGGAAACCAACCAGCAGGCGGTGCAAACAAACAAACACCCTTTGCCTCCACCCTTCCCAAAATCATCCTATCGGGAACGAACGGGCGGGCGCGAACGGGAAGGGAAAAGCAAATAATAAAAAAAAATTCCGCAAATAAAATCGAAACAACAAAACATTCCCCCCTCCACCCCCCCCCTCAAAAAAAAAAAAAAACAAACCAAACCCAAACACCACCAAAATTCTCCTGGGAGCCGGCGACTACGCGAGCCCAGGGGCGGGCAGGGTGGCTTTGTCTAAGAGGAACAAGTGGAATGATGGCTGGAGCCGCACTCACCTCCCCGGGGAGAGCGGCCCGTTACACAGCAATGCCGCAGCCCCGCTCCGTCCCGCTCGCCGGGCACCGGGGCAAGAGCCGAACCGCGGAGCTGCCCCGACCGCCGCCCGAGCAAGTTGGGGCGTTCGCCGCCGCTCCCCGCGCTCCCCCCGCGATGTTACGGTCGCGCCCCAACACCGCCGGCCGCCTTTCCGCTCCCTCGCCCACAAACTCCGGCCCGGCCACGCGGGTTCCCCCCTCGGCCTGCGCCGGGAGCCAGCGCCGTGAGGGGGCCGGGCCCCCCCGCGTCCTGCCCAAGTTCTGTGCGCGCCCCCCGCAGCTCCCGCGGCCGGGGCCGGGCGCGGCGGGGTCGCCGTGCACCTGCCGGCCGCTGCCCCGATGCCGCCCCGCGCATTTCCCCGCCTTTTCCCACTCTCAAACACGTGCGCTTCGGGGCTCGGGCAAGTTGCTCTCCAGCGGGAGACACCGCGCACCCGTCTGGGGGGACGGGGCCAGCTCTGACAGCCCGGCGCTCCGCGCCTCCAGCGCCCATGGAGCGGGAGGCAGATCGGCTGCGGCTCTCCCGCTCCGAAAGGCAACTTCTCTTTAATTTCACCGATGAGCAGTTTTAAGCTTTCCAAGCATTTTTACCCCCCCCCCCCAAGCCAAATCCAAGTGCGACTGGGGGGGGGGGGGGAAGTAAAGCTGCTCCCTCACACCGAACACCTCCTCTCCCACGCACACCGCTCCCCGCCCGCGGCGAGAGGCGACGGCTCTCGTGGGCATCTGGGTAACACGGTGCCACACAGTGGCCATGGCTCTCTCTCCCCCACCCCCTTCCTACACATCAGTATCCGAGCAAGACTTGCGCTCTGCCATTGCCATCTGGCTACCAAGTTGCTCCAACGCTCCCTACTTTCCGCGGCGGGCGATACCCGGCGCTGCCCCCGCGGCGCAGCCTGCAGCGACGCCTGGGGCGCAGGGCCGGCGGCACGGCACGGCACGGCGCAGATCGGCACGGCACGGAACACCGGCGGCTGGCTCACTTGGCCGCTGCACCTGGGCAGCTGCGCGGTGCAGCGGAACAAAAAGGGAGCCGGAGCCGGCACCGGGCGGCAGCGCTGCCTCCCCTCCCGCCTCCGCCCGCCACAGCCCCGCACAAGTTGCTTGTGGGATAGCGGAGCCGCAACTCGGCCGCCTCCCCTCGCCCCGTACCGAGCGGCGCGGCTCTTGGCGCCATGTTAATGACGTACTATCTTATTTCCACTAGGCAGCGACCTTCGGCACGAAACTGCTCTCCCGCCGCCTCCGGAGCGACAAAAAAACCCCATCAAATATGGCTGTGCTGGCGGCTCCGCGGCTGGCGCTGCGGCGGGCACGGTTACCTGCTGGCGGCGGCGCGGCGGCGGCGAGGGCGGGCGGCGCGGCCGGGCTCCCCCTGCGCGGAGGGCTCGGGGCCGCCGCATGAGTTCGGGCAGCGGGCACGGAGAGCGGCTCGCTGCGCCACACACACGCACAACACACACACACACTCTCTCTCTCTCTCACACACAGATTCCCTCTGACTGACGTTTGTACTTGTTATGGAGGAAGGACTCCGTGAATCAAACTCGTTTCTGGGTCACTGCTGCCACAGGGGGGAGCTGCTTTAATCCCCTGCCAAAACTGGAAGGCGAGGGGAAGGGGGGAGCAATAATAATAATAATGCAGCGCCGGCGTGGGGAGGCGGCGGCGCGGCCCCGGGGGAGCCGCCGTTAACTCTTGGCGGGCCCGGCCGCACCGTGCGGGGCTCCCGCCGCCCCTCGCCGCCGCCGGAGCCCCCGGGGGAGCGCGGCCGCCCGGCTCCCGCCGCCTCCCGCTCGTGTTCCAGCGGGCTGGAAAATGCGGATGGGCGGTTGGGAAATGATACGTGTCTGCACCCGCATCCCGCCCGCGGCACTGCTGGCCTTACCCTGCAACCATTAAGGCTTCTCTCCGAAAGATTTAAGGCGATTTCGCAAGCAGGAATTGTAACGCTGCACTGGCTCCCCGCGCAGAACGCGTGAGTCACTATTTGTCAAGCAGAGAAACTGAGGGTACCAAGAGTTAAACGCCGTGGCCACATGGGTAGCGCATAATTGCCGGGGCAAGAATAAAACTGCACGCTCCCTATTCTCAGCCCCCAGCGTTATCCCTCTGGCTCGTTAACTTTGATACTTCTCAAAGACTAGAAAGAGCCAACACAATCTGCGGTTCAGTTCACATCTCTCTAGCAGGAGAGGAAATTATCTTAAATTGGCACCAAATGACATACTAAACTTCCCATTACCTAAAAAGCGTGTTTGAATGCAGATTTCCTTATTTTTTCCACATAAATCGCTTTACCTCACGCCATACACCTGTGCTCCCTGAGTGAAAAACTCCCCCTTTCGAGCAGAATTCCTGAGCAGATACAGTCTGAGGTAATAAACACCACAGAGAAGATTCAGCATCAGCTCAGCCACAGAATTAAGGCGATCTGTGTAAAGTAATCCCCATAGTATGCAAATACAAATGAATGCAGCCTCCACAGCAACATCAGCCTGCCAAGGAATCACACCTTAGCTGAGCAGAGGAATTGGGTCGTTACTCATCCCTGCAAACCGAGTCATTTATTCTGCTGTCTCACGCACCCACCCACCCAATAATGGAACAGTACTTACATTGAATCTGCACATCCGAAAAAGTTGCACTTTGCTACAAAAACATCCTCCCCCCTGGAGATATTCTTTCGCTGGGAAAATCAGACAGTCGTGGTTTTATTCACAGAACACCCTGAAGCACCTTCAGATTCTAGAGTCTAAGACTTTGATTCCCTTGTTTTCTACTACATGAAAATACAAAAAGGCATGAATTCCCTACTTTTTTCCTGCTCTTGCCTTGGCATCCAGACCTGTAAAGATACCTGTTGGCATAGCTTTCTGTACATCAGCAGCTTAATTAGGAACATCCATGATGATCCATGCAACACACCCCATCATAGTACCTGATAATTATAATAAACTCACTGACACACCCCTGTCACCTTACCCTGAACTTCCAGGGCTGCTAATTTTCGATACTGACTGGAGTCTGAGTTGTTCTGTATTTCCTAAACCTGTTGCTGTGCCCTGGTATAAACCCCAGAACAGAACAGGTCTGAGTTTTTCCCGAGTGGTCTGCAGGCCCCTCAGGAGCTCAGGGAGGGACTGCTTCTCCTAAGCTCATAAAGAGTAATCACAGTTAGCAAAGCTACTGTCAATTGGCATTTATTATCCAAAGGCGTGCACTTCTACTGAGCTAATATGATGATGTTTCTTCTAAATAATTTTAAATAATATTGTCCATTTTAAAAGACTAGAGAATCACAATAAATGCTATTTGTTCCACTTTCCTGAATTCTTTCCAAGAAGTTCAGAACAAGCTTCTGAGAAGAGCTTCAATGTGAATGGGCTCTAATTTCTCAAGAGGAATGACAGAAACTTTCCTGTCTCAAGCTCTTTGGATTTGAGACAGTAATTCTGTTTCCCTGTAATTAGTTTTCCTTTGCATATATAGCCAAGTTTGTATTACACATTGTATTTTAGGAATCATTTCTTTTGGAAGCCACATTTAAGATAACATTATTGTTTTAAGATAACATGAATGTTTTCATGGTACCATGAATGATGGGCTGTGTTTTTAAAAAGTACCATCTCCATTACTGTAGAAATTTCCCCCAGTTTCTCCACAAGCAGCAAGCCCAGTCTTTACAAGAAGGTAACACAACTGGAACAAAGATGCTATTTTGTCTCTGAGTACAGTGTATCCACAGAAACTCCTCTGGAATAATACACTTCTATGCTTTAAAAGGAAATACTAAAAAAATCAAAGGGTTAGGAGCTGGAAGAATAATTTTGGAAGTGATTGGAATACAAAAAGGAAGGGCTACTGCTTCAGCACTACAAGTATGAAGTTGTGTACCAGTATAGCCATGGTCAAACAAGAGAGAGTAGTCTTCTGCTACCTGCACTGACTAAATGCCAAGGTGATGAGGAAAATTCTGCTCTAAGTAGAGTCAATAGAAGTTTTGACATCAGCCTTTGTCTCTAACAGGTACTTACCCTCTCAGCAAAGCAGGCACTTTGAGATATAATAAATAATGTCATAAGGCTCTGTGCCTCTCTCACTTATCTATGAGTGTTATCATTTATTCCAGGAACACTCAGAGAGCATGTATCCAGCTTAGAGTTAGGCTTTGTGCTAGCACACAGAACTTCTGGTCCCTTCTCCAAGTTGTTTCATCAGATACACTCACTCATATATTAAACTTTATTTTAAATTTTTATTAGTTTCTTAATGTTTCCCTCTTGGATTGGTAAGTTTTTAGCAGATGCACAAATCCAAGGAAAGACTTTGTGGCTTTTCAGCATCCTTTTGTGGAAATCTGTTGCTGTAGCAGTGGCTAATAAAATTAATTTTCTTCCTTCCTCCTTCCTTCCTTCTCCTTTCCTCTTTCTTCCTTTTTTTATTTTCTATTTTGACAATACTCCTTTTACAATTGAAATCTTTTCCACTAATTCTGCAGTCCTCACCATGAAGGTGGAGCTAACAAAACTGAGTTTCTCCTCACTGTTAAATTCAGTCCAAGAGTATCACTTAAAATTCAAAACTGTTTTGCTCTTTTGGCTCCAGCTTTCAGGAACTTCCATTTTCTCTTTTTTATTTCGAACACTAGAAACTTGAGGAGAAGCACAGTACAGATCCAAATTAGCACTGTCAACACTAGATTGTACTTAAAGAGTGGGATTTTCCAGAAAGCATTCATATCTCCTGTGAGATGAGAGGTATTTTATAGAGCAGAGCCATAAGACAAATGCACAGTTGGGCCAATTCCTTTTGAGGTCCTTTTTGTCTCTAGCTGGTCTAATCACACAAGCAAGGGCAAAAAAAGATCTTTGACTCATGCATATGTAAATCTATACCACTTACAAGTTGCATAAGTGCAATATTTTTACCTCCTGCAGAAATAAAACTTGCTCAATGCAGCTCCTGTATGGGCCATAGAGGAACACAGTTGTCACAGTTTTGTCCAACCCAAGTACATCATTTATGGCAAGGTGGCACCTGACTGCTTTACAAAATTGACTGGTGCTCTGGCTTTTTCATTCTTCTCATTATCTACAACTACCAAAATTTGGTGTGTCTGGATTAGGCAGGTCAAAAAGGCTGAGCTCAGGTAGTAAATTATTGCCTTTGACTCTGAAGATGAGGTTTACCAGGATTGCCTGAGTGGTTTGTTTATTCATAGGCCATACACAAAAGATGTGATTTCTCCTGTGCTCATTCTTCTGGTTTATAATTCCTTTGGTTTATTGAGATGAAGTCACGAGAGATCTCTACCTGGTTGTATGGGCCAGTATCCCAGGAAGGGGAAGCTGTGCCAGTGAAGGATGAGGATGGAAAGGGATGAAAATTAATCCTCAGAGCTGAACTTTTTATTTAGTGGGCGTGCGCAGACAGACTTGTGTACTTTTTTTAATGACAAAACTTGAGAAGTAGAAATTATTACACTAATTTTATCTGTGGGTAGACAGGGGCCTGCAAAGGTTATATCACTCACACAAGTCACATGTTAAGTCAGCATTAAAACCAAGAATAGAAACCTGAAGCAATGCCTCTCAGTCCAAGGTTTCTAATGATTAAACCATATCCTCCCCTTTGGCCTGGTCCACAGCACGGAATACAGTACAAAGTGTACCCCCATGACATTTTGCACATAGATATTTTAAAATGTTACTGCAAGTCAGACATAATCATTGCATGGATATGCAACTGCTGACACTGAAAAGGAAGCAGGGACAGGTATGCCCAATAGGTAAAATTAACTACATTCAAAAATTTAAAAGTCTAGGTACTGAAATCACGTGCTTCCAAATTGTTGTAATTGAAAAGTGGAAGCTGACTGGAAACCAGTAGAACAAGAAGCTCAATGGAACACTGGATACAGACTTGCAGGTCTGCAAGTTAAGCTGGATGAAGATGATGCATCACCTTTAAGGGAAATAACACAATTTTGTACATGATGAGAGGAGTAATTAGCAGCCGAGGTAATGCCCTAAGGATTATGAAAACCTCAGGCAAGTGAGAATTTAGCAGCAACAGATCAAATCTCAGCTGAAGTATCTACACGTGCCTATCTGGCAGCTCATCAGGCAACATTACAACAGCTCATCTAAATGAACTTCAACATTAAATTGTGTTTGTGCAGGCAGAAATCACGTAGTGAAAGAAAGGTGCTGTGACAAGACTTGTGGAAGAGTTCAAAAGAATCTGATTGCAGATTTTCTGATTGCAGAGTGCAACCTGATAACTGGTTGCTAGAAGTGGAGCAGTGGTATCAATTCATCACAGAAGTACAGAAAAAATACCTTTTTTTTTTTTTTAGTAACAACTTAGTGCCAAAATTACTTCAGAAAAAAAAATTGCAACTCCGGATCTTAAGGAATCAGAGAAATATTAACTCAAAAAAGAAAGATCAGGTGTTCCAATTGCTATGAGCAGTTTGTGATAACATGTCTACAAAGAGCAGAAATCCTGGAAGTAACTTCCCATGTGGTCCTTTTGGGTACCTTTTAGTACTTGATGGAATCACCACAGAGCTGCCCCTATTTGTGGTATGTCCTGGGACAACTTCTTCCAAATGCAATGACTCACAATTCATTGAATTTAAAGCTGTTTGCAGGCCATCAAACTGAGGTTTGCCACAAGGGCCAAGAAATCCTGCAACCTCCATGGCAAAAAGCAAACCTAGCACAATTAGCCATAAGACAGGAGCTATTCTGTTTGTCCTCAATAGGTATAAATAAGCCCCTCTCCTCAGTTTCCATGCTTGAAATCCCTCTTATGAGGATGTGGCAATCATGATTTCAACAAAGGGCAAATTTTCTCCTTAAATAGTCAGAGGTCCACTTATTTCAGATGCAGTTGTGCTGAAACCTACTTCAACTATTAGCAATTTAGCTCAGTAGTAGACAAAATAAAAGGGTGTAAAGAAGTGATCAC